AATTATATATTATATGTATTCTATATTGTATCTTTTTATATTTTATTATTTATTCTTATTAAATTATTATTATTTTTTTTTTATTATTATTTTAATTTCTCGCTTTCACACAATTTTCCATCTTCATTTTCAGCTGTGGCAAAGCATAAAAACAGGCCTGGTGTTTTTTATGATTGCCTGAATGAATAGCCCCATTTCCCCCAGCAGATGTGTGGCATCCTGTCCTCTTTAATTCTTTCTCCTCTCATTTAGCCTGTCTCTGTCAGTGCTCTGTTAATATTTGATTTCTGCAGGGCCCAGGGAGTTCCTGTCATGAAGGAGATTTCTGTGGACAGATTTTTAAATGGGAGCTTTTGGGCCAACAAATCTGCTCCAAAATGATGACATAAATATTACAGCTGGTCCTCGGTGTGAGACCTAATGGGGCTTTCAGTCTTTGAGGCAGATAAAAATAAATACCCCGCCATGGATCCCTAAAGGAAATGATCAGGTTTGTTTCCTGAGAGGCATCGAGGCAGAATCTGCTCCAGAAAGGTCTGGGAAGGTGAGAGCAAAGCAGCCATTGGTCACTTTGTCTAATTCCCACTAAAATCCCATCTGGATGAATTTCATTTTCCCCCCACAGTTCATTGCAGAGGAAGGAAAGCTCCCTGGGAGATCCATCTGCAGCACTGGAAATCCCTTTTCCAGGGGCTGCCTGTGCCCAGTTTACAGGTGAGAAATGAAGGTCCAGGGAAAGGCTCAAAGCCTTGCAATTAATTCCTCCAGAAATAAATCACAAATCCCCATTTGTGCTGATGAATCATCCCTGTATTTAGTGACAAACCAAGTGGGAAAAGTTATTTTATTTCCCTAAGAACAGCTGGAACCAATAGAAATTTTGAAGTCTACCTATTTTATTTATTTCTGCTCTGTGATTTGGCCCTAAATAACATTTTTTAACCTCTTTTTATGAGAGTGGAGTTTATTTCAGAGAAGAGTAAAGAAGGGAGATCAGGTGGGAGAATTTTGGGATTCCAGCCACAGTCAGGATCTGCAGGACAGGCCCTGAATTCTCTCCTGGCACCTTGACTCAGCATAGTGTGAGAATGTGCTGGAATTAAACCAGAAATAAAATCTTCCTCCATATTTACAAATATCCACATTAGGAATTATTCAGGAATGGCTGAATTAATGCCCTGACTTAGCAGAAAATCCCTCTCAGGGCATCTTTAATATCCATTAAAACACTGGGGCGCAGTAGCCCAGGACTAAAAGGGGTTTATTTTAGAGAGGTGACTGCTCTGTTTCATTTCCCAGCTTTGCACAGCAGAAAGAGCCAAATTTCCCAAATTCCTGAGGAGAGAGGGGTCAGTTTGTCTGAAATCCGCCTCGCTCAGCCCCAGGTAGCTCTGCACTCATACCTCAGGCTGCCCATGGCTGGGGAAGAGGCATCATCATCATCATCATCATCATCATCATCATCCACTCCAAACATTTCTAATTCCCCAAAGTTTGGCCTTGCAGCCGAGTTTGCCTTTGAGCAGAGATTTCTCCAGGCTGCCTGGAGCCCAGGGAAGAGCAGAGATGCTCCTGGGGACCAGACCCTCCCTTCCTGAGTGTCCATCCCTGTCCTGAGTGTCCATCCCTGTCCTGAGTGTCCATCCCTGTCCTGGGTGTCCATCCCTGTCCATCCCTCTCCTGAGTGTCCATCCTTTCCCTGGGTGTCCATCCCTCTCCTGAGTGTCCATCCTTTCCCTGGATGTCCAGCCCTGCTGGCTCTCATTCCAGGCTGGGCTTTAGAGCTCGTGCAAGCTGCAGATCAGGCAGCTCCTGGCTGCCCTGCTCCCCACCAGAGACAGAGCTGGATTTTGCTCAGGAGCAGATGAAGGAAATCCAGGGAAAGTCCTGTTCCCAGCATCCCAACCCAGCCGCGCTGCTCGGGAGGTGGCCCGGAGGTGTCCGGCCGATTCCTGCTCCCAGCCCAGGAGCCCCGGTGGAGCTGGAGAGGGGAGGGAAGGCAGAGCCCTTGTCCCAGCCGGGTGTCCCCCAGCCCGGGGGTGACCCGGAGCTGCCCGTGCTGTCCCCACGGGATCCAGCCCGGGGGTGACCCGGAGCTGCCCGTGCTGTCCCCATGGGATCCAGCCCAGCCCCGGCCGCCTTGGGCACGCAGCGGGCGCAGCTTCTCCTCTTCCCTGGCTGCTGCTGGGCATTCCCTGCTCCCTCCCCGGCCCAGGACCCCCGGCCCCCACTCACCGCGGGGCTGCGGAGGGGCCCCGCAGGCGCCCAGGCTGTGCAGGAGCAGCAGCAGCAGCAGCAGCAGCGGGGCACAGCGGATCCCGGCCATGGCCGTGCCGGAGCCGGGCTGGGAGTGCGGCCCGGGGGGCTGGCCCCGGGTATTAACCTGCCCTTCCCGGAGGCTCCGAGCCAGCCCCCGCCACGCCGGGCCCGGGGGGGCAGCGAGGGGAGAGGGGCAGGCAGAAGGAGCGGGAGGAGATGCTGCTCCAGGGTGGGGAGGGGGCGATGGGCAGCCCTGCCCTGCCGGCCCCCAGCTCCCCACAATGGCCCCATTGCTGCCGAGGGCACGGGGAGCTCCGCAGGGCCCCGGGGCGGGGGAAGGTGGGGAATGTGGGGCTGGAACAGGGGCAGCAGTGAGTGAGAGCAGCCCCGGGGAGCCGGGGTGGGGCTGTCGGACAGCGGCTGCTGCCTGCAGGGCCGGGGGAGCGAGGGGACAGCGCCGGTGTCACACGGGAACCTCCGTCCCCACCTGTGCTGCCCTGCTCTGAGTGTCCATCTGTCCTGTCCTGCCCTGTCCTCTCCCCTCCCCTCCTGTCCTGCCCTGTCCTGTCCCCTCCTGTCCTGTCCTGTCCCCTCCTGTCCTGTCCTGCCCTGTCCTGTCCTGTCCTGCCCTGTCCCCTCCTGTCCCCTCCGTGTCCCCACCTGTCCAAGCCCGGGACAGAATCGGGTGGGCTCAGGGGTTTTGCTGCCCTCGGGAGAAGCTCAGGAAAGCCGAGGAGGGTTTGGGAGCAGGGCTGGACGCTCGGGGTGCAGAATTTTCCTGCAGGGAACAGGCGCTCCTGTGTGGGGGAGCGGGGAGAGGGCTCCAGAGACAGACGGACAGGAGAGGCTGGGGACGGACAGGAGAGGCTGGGGACGGACAGGAGAGGCTGGGGACGGACAGGAGAGGCTGGGGACGGACGGACAGACAG